TGGACCAGCCAGAGGCCAGACAACTTCCCACCGTCCGCAATATTGACCAGACTGCACTGTCGTTGCACCTCGCCGTCGCCCGTCGTCGTCAAAACCTAGCCGTGCCGCTGCGCGATCCGCACAAGAGTGCCTCGCCAATTAATTCGACGTTGCGTCGAGACACCTCTACAGGAGCCCACGCTGGTCATTGCCAGTGTTGTCTGTGCTGTGCTTTGCTGTGCTGTGTTGTGCCGTGCCGCGCTGAGCTGTGCTGTGCTGTCTTGCTTGTGCTGTGCTGTGCTGGACTCCCGCCTGCCGTGCGCTACAGCGCCTTGCTGCTGTCTGTCCCTTGGCGAGAGAGTGTGGCTGCCCCGGCCTCGAATAATATTCGCCTCCACCTGTGAGTCCTGCCTCATCACCACCACCTCAGCCCGCCCTGCGCGCTGTACCCGATCCCGCCTGCCATTTTCGCGAGCCGCTACCTTTTACCCACAATCGCCTGCCGCCCAACCCAACCAACTTCTCACGAAGAGGGGCAACATCTTGTTTTTGCTCACCCATCTCGACATAGCTTTACCCAGCATCTCTTCAATCGCGAGTCCCGACCGACCGCCCGCCCGCCGAGCCCCGACCTCGACGTCTGCTCTCCCTCTCAACCGCCCCCTCGCAGACCGGCCCTTCTCTCCCTCTCTATGACATCGACGTTTGGTGCTTGGTAGCAGAGATTCGACATGCCGGCCAACCACCGCCAGGCGGCATCACAGACGCCCGCGTCTCCCAACACCAAGGCCACGGCTCGCTACACGAACAAAGATGGCTCCAAGATCATCACCGTCCCCAAAGGCCCCCCCTCCACCGAACCCTCGCAGCCATCGACCCCGACCTCGTCGGCAAGGGCCCCGAGTGTGCAGACGACAGCCACCAACGGCGCCGACCCCTCGGCGCCTACTGTCAATCGCAAGAAGCAGAAGCGTCGCGCAAAGGCTGCCGCGAAGGCTGCCGCTGAGCAGGCCGTCGGTCAAACGCCGAATGGACGCTCGAGTCCTGCACCTGGCGCACCCGCCTCCACACCTCAGCCTACCCAAGATGACGACGACCAGGACTCCAGTGACGACGACGCCGACGACCACCACTCCGCCGACGACCACCCCAGTGCCAACGGCCTCGCCTCGGCCAAGTCCAAAAAGTCCAAAAAGAAGAAGAAGAAGAACGCAAAGAACCCGCACCTCGCCAACCCCCAGTTCGACAACGTCCCGCACTCCCACTCGCCATTGGCGCCCCGTGGGCCTGGAATTTCCAAGGATAAGATCTGGAACACCAGCTCGCAGGAGGAGAGGGAGCGCATCAAGGAGTTCTGGCTCGGGCTCGGCGAGGATGAGCGCAAGTCGCTGGTCAAGGTCGAAAAGGACGCCGTTCTGAAGAAGATGAAGGAGCAGCAGAAGCACACGTGCAGCTGCACCGTCTGCGGCCGGAAGCGCACCGCCATCGAGGAGGAGCTGGAGGGGCTGTACGATGCCTACTACGAGGAGCTCGAGACGTTTGCGAACAACGGAGAGGGCCCGCACATCCTCCCGCCTCACCGCGAATTCCCCCTGCGACCTTCACGCCTCCCGTCAACTTACTCGGGACAACCGCCGTCGCGCGGTCGCATAGTGGAACACGTGGGCGACGATGACGACGAGGAGGACCCCGAAGAAGAGTACAGCGACGAAGAGGACGAGCTCGAGGACGAGGAGGAAGAGGAAGAAGACGACGAGTACAGCGAAGAAGACGAACCGCCAGAGGATGCCCACCCTCACGATCGAGATGTGGCCGACTTCTTGACGTTTGGTAACAGCCTGCAAGTCAAGGGTATGCAGCTTCTGGACTCTCTACTCTGCAGATATGGTAACATGGACTTAGGCGGCATACTCACCGTTGCGGATGATCTCCTCAAGAACGACGGCAAGCGCTTTATCGAAATGATGGAGCAGCTCGCCGAGCGCCGCATGGCGCGGGAAGAGGACGCCAAGGAGCACTTTTCTCGCGGCTACGGTCATCCCGCCAACGGCTCTTACTCGAATCATAACCATCCTCCTCCCGAAGACGACTACGACGACGAAGACGAGGAGGAGGATGAGGACTATGATGACAGCCAAGAAGAGGAATACGAGGATGAAGAAGTGAGCTCCTCTCAATACACATATGACCATAAACACTCGAGTACTGAGCATTACTGTTGCCATCATCAGGACACGATGACCGAGGAACAGCGCATGGAAGAGGGTCGTCGCATGTTCCAGATATTCGCCGCTCGCATGTTCGAGCAACGGGTCCTGACAGCCTATCGGGACATGGTCGCCAAGCAACGCCAGCAACAGCTCATCGAGGAGCTCGAGGAGGAGAACCGGCAAGACGCTCAGCGAAAAGCGAAGAAGGCCAAGGAGAACCAGAAGCGCAAGGACAAGGCCGCGTTGAAGAAGCAGCAGCAGGCCGAGGAGAAGGCGCGCAAGGAGACGGAAAAGGCGGCGGAAGAAGCTGCCCGGCTCGAGGAGCAGCGAAGGAGGGCCGAAGAGCAGCGACTCCGAGCCGAGGAGAAGCGCCGAAAGAAGGAAGAGCAGAAGCGTCTCGAGGAGGAAGAACGCCTCCGCAAAGAGGCGGAGCGGCAAAGGCGTCTCCAGGAACAGCAAGAGAAGCGCGCAGAGCAGGAACGCAAAGCACGCGAAGCCAGGGAAAAGGCGCAGAAGCTCAAGGAGGAGGCTCGATTACGCGAGAGGGAGGCGCGAGAACAGAAGGAAAAGGAGATGCGGGAGCGGAAAGAGAAGCAAGACCAGGCCAAACGCGACAAGGAGGCCAAGGCCAAGGCCGACCGGGAAGCCAAAGCTGACAAGGAGAGCAACGAGCGGATCAAGCAGGAGGAGAAGGCCGCGCAAAAGGCCGCTACGATCGCCGCTGCCCCTATCCCCATTCCCAACTCAGGCCGCCGTCCATCGCAACACCCAGTGCCGATTCCGACGCACCCCTCCAACCCAGCATCATACGCATCTCCAAAGATACCCGTTGCGACGCCGGCTTTGCCCAAGGCCCCAACACCGATCCGCCCCAAGCACGCGTCCCAGCCCCTGGAAACCGGCCTGCCCGAATCTCTAGCTTCGCAGTCCGGCTCCGCCGCCAGCCAAAACCCGTCGCCGCACCCCGCAACGCCCGGCCACACGAGCCCGGCGCCGATTGGATCTCGGAAGACCAGCGTGGCGACCACGAGCTCGCTACCCCATCCTCATTCGGTATCGCCATCCAGTATCAAGGGACCGATGCAACCGGGTCCGTTCGGTATGCCCATGAGCATGCCGCCGCCTGGCTTCGGGGTGCCACCTCCGGGGCTCGCGAATCGCATGCATGATCCCATCTTTGGTCCACCCGGTATCCCCGGGTTCGGCAGACCGCCTCCTGGCATGATGCCCGGCCCGCCCGGACTCAATGGGCCCGCCGGACGCGGCTTCATGCCACACCCGCCTCCTGGATTCGGACAGCCCATGGGCGACCCGATGCACAACATGGCACCGGGACCCGCGACACACTCAAGGCAGGCCTCTGGGAGCTTCGATTCGGCTTCATCGCCGGCCCCGGCGCAACCCATTGGAAGGCCAGCGCCCATCGGACGGCCCGGCAGTGTGGTGCATGGGCAGCGCAACGACCAGCCAGACGATTTTGCGAACCAGCATCTCGGCAGCAGCGCTCTGCTAGACGATGCCGAGGACCCGATCAACGCCGCCATCAACGCGGCCAGGCACCGCAACCAGGTCCCGCGGCCGGTGTTTCCGACCATCCCGTTCGTTGGAGGCATGGACAACGGATTCCACAACATGCACAACAACGTATGGGGGCCGTCGCCGATGGGCTTCGTTCCGCCTCCTGGGCTCGGCAACCCCACCTGGGGCAGCCCCATGATCCCGCCAATGCCCTCACTGGGTCAGATCCGTACTGGCGGAAATCCTCGCTCGGTCACGGTTCGCTTGATGCTGTGCCGCGCCTGCAAGGAGTTGCAAGCTCACGATGCCGACAACTCCGAGTCGTTTGTTGACCTGGCGGCGATCAAGGCCGAGGTGGACCAGCTCAGTAGGACGGAGGCCATCTCGGAAGATGATCTACTGGACCTCGCCGAAACGGAAGGAAACGCTCACAACGGCGGGGGCACCTTTGAAATTCGGCGGGACGCAAACGGTCCCGGCAAGCACTCGGTTCGGTGGGTGCCCGAGTTCAACGACATGGCACAGCCTCACTACAGAGCGGTGGGCGCCCCAGGCGAGATTGGAAGCCCCATCATCGGCAGTGGCACGGCGGCATTCTTGGCTAGGGGGCAGTAGGACCGTCCATCTAGCGAGGGATCGAGGTCTGTGTCTCCGACTGAAAGTCTCGGCACATCCGAGAGACTCTTTAGAGGAATGTTTCGCGCCATGCAGACGGGCCGCATCAACAAGGTCACTAGGGATCCGGGGCACATTGGCGCGGAGAGGGAGAAGCAGGCCAAGAGATGATCCTGAGCCCGACGGGGGAGACGTGGTTCTGTGGGAGAGTCGATGTAGGAACTTTCTTTGAAACTGAGTAATCGAGCCCCCCCTGGGTTTTCTTGCCCAGATAGCCGTCACAAGCGGAGGGGGCAAGCCGTTCCAGCCAGCTTCGATGGCGAAGCGATGCGCCAGCGTTGGCTAATAGAGACTACCCGTGTTCTTTCTGCACGTTGCTTTCTGCATGTGTTTTTGGTGCGACATGTACAAGCCAACATTGGCATGGCGTTTTGTCAGCCCAGGACTGCCTCGAGTAGGTTCCCCACACGGATTGACACCGGGACAAGATGAACCAGAAAGCCCTTGAGCCCCGCAACGATGCACAGTCCAGACGCCCACTTTGTCCACCCACAAACCACCTCAATTCTCGTCCCTCACTTACACAATAGGAACAGAAGAGACTGGCCGAACGGTCCGAAAGAAGGGTCTTGAGCCATCCCGGCCCTGGCACATTTCAACCAACACTCCCAAGCCGGTTGCCCGGCTAGCTCAATCGGTAGAGCGTGAGACTCTTAATCTCAAGGTTGTGGGTTCGACCCGTAAGTTCACCGTCGCCGACATGTGGGTTGGTCACGACAGATTGTCTAACATGAAACAGCCACGTCGGGCTCAATTCCCGTCAGCGATTGACGCAAACATCTTTTTTTTTTCACCTTTTGCCATTTCATCTCTGGGACTGTCGAGGCGAGGTTGTCTTTGGTTCCATGCCGTGGGTGTGGACTGCGACTACGTCTTGCCCTCCCTCGACACAGCCGGGGACGAGGCGTCGTCACTAGCCCAGCAACTTTGGCGGTATTTGAACAGGTGAGCGACTTGGGCAAGGCGATGAACGCCTCTGCGTGAGTAGCAGACCTTGGGACCAGAAAGGCCAAGCCCCCCCTTTTCAAAAGTCCACCGGCGATCTCGGGTCATGCGTCAAGAAGTGGCAAGGCATCGTCAAAGAGAAAAGCCAAACTCCAATTCTAGTGTCTATATGGTATTTCCGCCTCCTCAAGTCGTCAAAGTCGTAGGTCATGCCGGATCCCCGCTCGGTGTAGCCACGGCTGGCCTCGAACAAAGCCCCAGCCGCGCCGTTTATGCACAGCCACGCCCGGCCACCCAAACTCCCATCGGGTATCTCGTAGTCTATGGTTGTTGTTGTTTTTTTGAGAACAAGAAAGAAAGAAATAGGCCAAAAGTGGCAAACGAGGACTTGTGTCTATGAGCTGCGCCACCGCCATGTCGTGTCGTGCAAACATTAGATAATACAGGTGAGAAACAAAGGTTGTCGTATATGGACAATGGAAAAACCAGGAAAGACCGGCGTCATGGTTTTCCGAGAATGGACGGCCGAGGCGAAAGGGGACTAGATCCACGCGGGATGGACGGGCGCCTTGTCCTCGGCGGGCGACGGGCGGCCGAGGCGCTTGAGGCGGAGGTTCTCGATGCTCTTCATCGCCCACGAGCGAGGCCGCTTCGAGGGGTGGGGGACCTGGAGGAACGCCCCAAAGGCCTCGTGGTCGTCTACCGGCGACGGCGCCTGCTGCGCCAGGCGGCCCAGCGCATGGGCGTCGGCCCAGGGGCTGACGGGGTTCGGGGAGCCGCCGCCGCCCGCGTACAGCGCGGGGTCTTCGAACAGCTCGCCCTCGCGGGGGCCGAGGACGACGTCCGTGGACCAGGCGTCGCGCTCGGGAGGACGAGGGGCGTGCCGGGGTGGGGGTAGGCGAGGGAGTCGGGCTCGTCGGGGACGCTGCGCGGCGGGGGGTGCGAGACGGTGGCCAGCGTGGTGTGGAACACGGGCTGCCGCTGGCCAAAGGAGCCACGGTGCAGCTCGTTGTGGCCGGTGATGGACAGCGGGCACTGGTGCCGGAGCGGCCGAGTGGCCTCGCCGGGGAACTCCGGGGCCGGCTGCTCGGGGGACGAGAAGGAGGTCTGGCCCAGCGTCCAGGCGGCGTGGAGGATCCGGGGGACGTCGGGGAGGTGGCGGCACTCGAGGAGCTTCTTGAGGTCGCCCGAGGAGCGCGGCTGCCAGCGCAGCTGGTTGCGCGCCGCCTTGTCCCAGAGGGTGTGCTTCCACTCGTCCTTGAGGGCGCGCTGGCGCAGAAGGTTCTGCATCTGGTGGTAAAAGGTCCACTCGGACGAGGCGGCGCTGCGCTTGTCGAAGTGGCCGGCGAGGTGGTCGAAGAAGCTGTCGACGGCCGCGGCCGCGCCGCCGTCGTCGGAGGCCTCGACGACCTCTTTGCACCCGAGGAAGCCGCAGGCGAAGACAACCTGCGTGCAGAGCTCGACCCTGACCTGGTCGGGCGGGGGGGGGCGTCGCCGTGGTCGATCTTGAAGTGGGTGACGTAGGCCTTTTCAAAGTCGAAGACCATGCGGCACCCACCCTGCGGGCAGACCCAGACGCAGTCGGTGTTGTGGAAGTTTTGGAGGTGCTTCTTGAAGTCGCTCTTCCTGCCGAACCCCACGTAGACGTCGTAGACGGCGCACATCGGGCACTCGATGGGCTTGCGGCGGCACGGGGACTTGACGGCGGCGACCTTCTTGTCGCGGGACGGGGACGTGAGGTACTCGTTGATGTGGCGGTCCTGCCACTCGGAGCTCGAGAGGGAGGGCGTCACCGAGGGCGAGAGGAGGAAAGGGACGTCGTGGGGGTCGCTCCAGGCGTTCTGCGGCTGCTGGCCGCCGTAGAGGCTGCCGGCCAGGGAGGCGGCGTCAGAGCCGCAGAGGGAGGCGTCGGAGCCGCTCCATGGGCCGGAGCTGGTCAGGGACGGCGCGCTGTGGTTGCTGCCGAACGTCGACGTCGAGAGCGTCGAGTTCCGCGCGGGCGCGTTCATGTGCCGTTGCTGTTGGTGGTGGTGTTGGGGCGGCGGCTGGAGAGGCGTGTGGTTGCCGCCCAGGCTTCGGAGGGTGTTCTCCAAGCTCCCGGGCCCGTAGCGTCCGGCGAGCTCGCGGAGGACCCGTACGTCTTCCGGCGACATCGCCGACGGTTCTTGGTTTGGGAACATGCTTTGCGTCCAGTCGCGCCGAGACCGATGTGCGATGTGCCTATGATGGCATGGGGGTGCTCGCCGAATACCTGACGATGGACTTGATAGTTGCCTTTGCTGATTCGAAAGGGAGCGGACGAATAGACAGCGATGACCGATATGTCAGGTGTCACAGAGCGAGAGAAGGACCGTTTGTTATGTAGTAAAAGAAAGACTCGACGCGATGCAAGGCCAATGCGACGAAACAACAAAACGGATGTTGGGGAGTCGACTGACAGAAGGGAACGACGCCAGGCCCAGGCACGAAAAGGAGGCAGGGAATCCGACATTTGTATCCTTTGCCAAGACATGCCGTCAAAGGGCCCGAGGGGCGCCAATGTCGTGCAGGGCAAGCCGGGCCAGGCGCCAATGAAGAACCGATGGAAGGCAACGACGACGGCGGCGCTTTCTGAGGTGTGGCGACTAGTCCGACGCTGGCTGTTGTCACGGTTGTCACGGCTGTCTGGTTTGCGTGCGGTTGTGACTGACGCCTCTTTTCGCATTAGCGCGGGCGCAGGGCTCAGGACTGAGCCCGCTTCTCGGGCGACCGTGAGGATGGACGTGTGTGCCTGGGGTTGCGGAGAGCACCGATTCCTCCGGATCAGAGCAACGGCGCAGACTGGACGCGATATTGACGTCGAAGGGCTGTCGAATCACATCGCAATCTCATCGTCCGAAGCATTCCTCATGCCAAGGCAATCTTGAAAAGGGCGATTCACCGCTGTCGGTACCCAAGTCTGGCTGCTGGGGAACATCTCTCGTCAGCCCCAACGAAGCCTTCCAGAAGAAAATGGATCGACTAGTGGACCTAGAGTGGAGGGGGCCAGACGAGCTCGTCCCCGTCGACGACAAGCGCCAGGGTCCAACGACCAACCGGCGTGGGCGGAAGGTGAAATGGAACATTGCAGATCCATCCGCGGTCGCCTGGTGCGCCAGGTGTCAGAAGACCCTCTCGACGAACCAGAGCCAGGCACCACAGGATTCCTCCTCTCGTCGTGTCCGGATGACAGGTGCAGATCGTAAGGAGAGAGAGAGAGAGGGAGGAAGAGACAGCCTGGCGGGGCTGTGTCGCCTGCGCCGGCGTCCCCTCCAGCTGGAATGACCAGTCTGAGCAAGCCAAGACCGTTAGTCGGCTTCTAGAAGGGCGCTAGAACAAAGGATTGCATAGCTCGAGTGCAGGGGGTGCGGGGGTCGTGGATGACGACGGTGGTGGTTGGGTTCTTGGATAGCGTCAATAGTCAGTCTCACTGGTTCTTGCGGACACTGGCCTCGAGGGCCCGTCGTCTTCGTCGTCGCCGTCGTCGTAGCGTCAGTGCCGCGCCGTTGTCGTCGTTGTCGCCATGGGTCCTTGCGTGCTTGGCCGCGTGAGACCGTCGACTCTGACAGAATGGTTCTCGCCTCGTCCGCAGCCGGGTCCATCGCACGATGGGGCGGAAAACGACGGGGTGGCAGTTGCTTGTTTCCCCCCCTTCCCCGTTCTTCTTCTTGGTTTCATTCTTCCTTTGCCTGCTTTCTTTGTCCCCCGGGGACGCCAAGTCTCGGGTTTCTTTGTCGAGTCGTGCGGGAAGGCAAATGGGATCTGAGGAATCATTCTTATTCTCCTTTTGACCAAACTACTGTCGCGTGTCCTGGAATCATGCTGTGCCGAAACTTAAGGCATAGCGACCCTCGGACACGTGCGTTGCCGGCAATGGAGTGGTTAAGGGCGAGAAGCCATCACGTATGGCCGTTGAAAGGCAAACCCCATGTTCAGCCTCGGACTTTGGATGTCGCCGGCGTCAGAGGGCACCTGGCTACTGGGCGAGCCGTTGGGCGGATGTCATGAGGGCGAAGCTCCAAGGCATTTCAGCCAATATTGAGACCCTGGCTATTGCCACAGGGAAACCACCAGGCAAAGAGGCTAGACAACATGGGCATCTCATGTCCCGTCCAATCCCGTGTCTTGGCCGTCGGTGAACAGGTAAGATGGGTTGAACAAGTAGAGAAAGGCGAGACGAGACGGTCCACTCGGCCCATACAACCACCCCAAAGGCCGAGAGAGAGAGAGAGAGAGAGAGAGAGAGAGAGAGAGAGAGAGAGAGAGAGAGGAGCACAGAAGCCTCGAAAAACATCCTCAGGCAACGCATCCCTCAACCGAGATGCGTGCCTCTTTGCAAGCAACCTGCCACACATTCGCCTTGCCTCTTTTCTGTCTGCCGTGTTCTCCATTCCCTCTTCCCCTCCCCGTGACAAGTCTCTCGGTACTGCCACGGGGATTTCATTCGCTGCCTCACTTCCTGCAAAGTAAACTGCAAATCCATGACACCTTGTTCACACTCTCACTGTCGTGCTGCCTCGCTTTCCTGTCTTGCTTTCCCTTGGGCCTGAGAGCGCCGAGACGAACTCAACTCAAACCCTCCAGATCCCCAAGTCGGCCATTCAACCCCATCGCCGCGTGTCCTCCCCCCCCCCCCCCCCCCCCCCCCCTCTTCCGACTCCCTCTCAGACCCTCAAGCGCACCCTGTTTGTTGCCCGAGTCCCTCCAGCTCCATCCCAGCAACCAGGAACCGCCAAGTT